TCCCTGGCCAGCAGCCCAAGGGTCGTGCAATGTGCAGAGACTGTCCCTGTCTTACTGGAGCTCTTTTTCAGGGTGGTGGCAGAGGTAGGCCCTTTTGGGGGAGTTTTGGCTCCCAGTCGTGCCACGGGGATCTCTTGTTATGTGAAGAGCAGTCATAGAAGCAAAATTGTTAAGACACTGCAGTTTCAACAGAAGGGTGCATGAGGGGAGGGTGGGATGGTCTAATACTGGCATGAACCAGGACTGAGCTGGCTACTTCATCTGGAGAAGCAGAAAAGCTCCATGGTGCAGTGTCAGGCTTCACACTGTTCTCTCAGCCAGCTGTAAAGGAGGTGGGTGAGAGCAGAATGAGTGCCTGATACCTGCTTTGTGCACTGCTCCCCTCCTGCTGGATCAGGCTGTTTCCGTGCCAGCTGTCTTATCTGGCGGGTTAGTTTGGTTTTTGGCTGCTGGAAGTCACTGGTATTGCTGAAACAAGGGCTGTTTTTCAGTTTGCAGATGGGCCACTGATAAACCAGCTGGTGGTGCTGCTGCTGCAGAGGAGTGACCAGCTCTATGAGATCCCAGCATTTAAAGATGACGTGTACAGGTGAGATGGGACAAGAGGCCCAGCCAAGCTCCCAGCCCTTCCACTGGCTGCAGCCTGGCACCCCAGGGCAGCCCGGGAGCCTTTTCACTTGTGGCCCAGTCCCTGCTGCGTCACATCTTTGGAAGGTGCGAAACGGGAGCTGCACCTTCAGCCCTTCTGGAGGCATCCTGAGTGTACAGACACCGTGCCAGTGGCTGGGTGCTGCCAGAACCTCCTTGGTTTGGTGATGACCGCCTTGCCCGTGGTCTGAGCTCTGCCCATCTGTCTCCCCCAGGGTGCTGAGCTCGCAGCTGGTGATGCTCTGCAAGCTGCACCCTGCGCTCATCGTGGAACTGTCCAAGGAGATTCTGGAGTTCTCGGGAACAGTCAGCAACATCCAGAACAAGGAGGCCATCTTCACCCACGTGGTAAGCAGGGTCTGCTTGCTTCTGCCACAGGTTGCTCCAACTGCAGTGCAATCTGTTGGTCACCTTTCCTTTCCTCCTCTCCTCTGTCCTAGCATTAGCTAATCTGATTTGCTATTCCCTAAAAATTATTTGATCCCTTTTCCTTCTGCTTGCCCTGAGCGTGTCTGCCTTCGCTTCAGGTCTGGGCTATTGGAGAGTACATGTCTGTGTCCTATGACAAGCGCTGCACAGTGGAGCAGATCAACCGGTTCTTTGAGACTCTAGAGGCCATGCTGTTTGAAATCACCCAGCTGCGACCACTGGCTAGCACCTCCAGCTACGCACCCCGCGCCATTAGTGTCCTTATGGCCACCTTGACCAAGTTGGCAGCTCGCAGCCAGGACTTGATCCCCAGGTGAGGAGGGATGGCGGAGAAGGGCAAAGGGCTGAAACATGCAGATCTCATGGGTCCAAACACAGGTGTTTGCTAGTGTTAAATAATCAAGCTTGGCAACTGATGGAACCTGAAACTGAAACAGGACAGAGGAAGCAAGCTGTGGAGGAGCACAGTTTGGGGAAGTGGGATTCATCTGCTGACTAACGCTCTGTGCATCAGGAGGAGGGGGTGGATAGTGTCTGGTGTTCACCTATAACAGAGTCTTGTGGAGTACACAGGCTTAAGTAGTGACCTTGCTGAATGCAGAGGTCCTGCCGGCTGATGTCTGTGTCCTTTTCTCCTGCAGAGTGTCCATGTTCCTGTCCAAGATGAGGACATTTGTGCAGAGCCCTGCTGTCACCTCTGTTTACTGTGAGGAGGACCTTGAGGAGATCCTTATCCGGGCAACTGAGCTCATGAACCTACTGAAAATGCCAAGCGTGGCTCAGTTTGTGTTCACGCCGCCTGTAGATGTGGCCAGTACACGGTTTCAGAGAGAGGTGAATGACTCCCTCCCTTTTGCCCTGAGGATAGTCACCCATCTCCTAGAGCCGGCTCCTGGCTGCATGCCAGGGTGAGGGCATGAGGTTTCTGGGTGGCTCCAGCCTCTGTCGTAACTCTGCTGTACAGAGACAGTGTCTCTGTCGGACACTGCGGACGCTCAAGCCTGAGGCCCTGCTCTGAACTGGAAATGAGGAACAAATGATTGTGAATGAAACAGAAAATGGGAATAAGTAGAGCTGAGGCTGCTCTTCTGGTCTGAGGCTGTTTGTATTTCTGTCTCCTAGCGCCTGTTGCTTTTCTGTCTCCTAAGCTTGTCTTATCTCTCCCTGGCCAGTATGGATTGAAAATCCCAGTGGATTTGTGTGAATGTGGCAGCAGGGTGAGTGCATGTGTTAATAACCTGCCAGCATACCATGCCCCTTTGGAGAAGTACTTCTTCGTCCCTCCCCTCCTCTGACTTGTTTCTCCCCCTCCTTTGCCCTTGCTACACCCTGGCTATGCACGTGCTTCTCTTACTGCCTCTCTGCTTGCAGCAGATCAGCCAAGCAAAGGCCTGTGCGAGGTGGAGAAAGTAGAAGTGACTCCATTAAGTCTGCTGCGAGCCCTCACTGCTCTTCTGTCTTACCATCAGAGTTAACACGTGGAGATCCAAGAGACAGCTACCAGACGGGAGCTTAGAGAGATTTATTGATCCAGTTTATTGTTGACACCAAGAGCATTTCTTAACATACATCAGCCCCGTGTCAAACAGGCGCCATGCTGTGTTCTGTATCTGTATGAGAAGTTTATACACATTCGAGCTGTACAGTATTAACAAATGGGGGAAGTAAATACGTCCCACTGTTCCTCCCAGAAGAAGCAAGCCCTCATGCACACTAGTAAATAGCTGCATTTATTTACAGTCCATTTCAATACCTGACTGCACTGTGAGCAACATACAGCTCTGGGGCTGTTTCCCACCTCCGGGGGTGCCTGGAGAGTCAGGCTCAGTGGGGAGCAGAGGGCTGTGTTGATACCGCTGGAACTTGCCAGGGTGCAGCCCAGTACTGTCTAGTGCAAACCAAGCCTCCCCCGAGCGCTGGCTCCTGGGCAGAGGGGAGTAAGGAGTGCATGCAGTTTGCCCAGGGGCTCTAGGCAGCCCATTTCCTGCCCTACAAACCTGCTGAGCTCGGTGGAGGATGACAGCAGACATACCTACTTGATTCAAAGTCCAGTGAATCACCAGGAGCCCTGTGGGGCCCTGAGCCTTTGCTCACTTGCCTGGTACAGCTGAGTCAGTGGCAGGAGGGATGCATTGCTCCCAGCCCCTGCTGGGGAGGCACCCCAGGCCAGTTGGCATGAGCATGGCCTAGCAGAGAAGCAAAGGCACTAGTGTCTCGGTGAAGGTCTGTCTTGCCCTAGAAAAGGCAAACCAGGCTGCGCTGAAATCCAGTAGTGGAGTGTTTCCCCTGCGTGGATTATTCTGACATCTCTCTCCTGCAAAGTGCAAGATTAAGCACAGAAACCAAAACTACAGCAGTGAAGTATGTGAGGTTTAATTAAGGCCAACCCTCTTAAGCATCCCTTTTTTAGCATCACAATGGTTGGAGAAACTCTTGTTGTGAGATGCCATGTGAATATCTGATTTGCTGCCAGAGCCTAGACCATGCTGGTTTAAGTGCAGGGTGTGATGTAGGGCTTTGCAGCAGGCTGTTTTAATAGGGTTCGGCTAAACTAGGTCTCGGTATCTGTCTATATGTGGAAATCAGGTCGGGTTTATCCCGTTAATGTTGCTAAAAGCACAGAGAGGACTTAGCAGGCAGGAGGCCGGGTGTGCAGGGGACCGGCCAGCCACACGGTGGAGCTGCCAGCTCGGCTCTGCTGACACCGTTGTTGTTGGCAGCAGATAGCAGAGCTGTTTCTGGGACATTCAAGACTGGCCTTCCAAAGGGAGCCTTTGCTGCCCATCATCACGCGTCGGCATGTCAGCAGCACGCACTTCTGAGATGCTCTGAGCTGGGCAGGAAACAGGGTGGCCTTACAATGGCCTGACAAAGCTGGAGGGAGAGGACTAGGACACGGTGCCAAGATGTCGTTTGTCTGCCTGGGCTAGTGTCAGCCACACCTGGGGTCTGGCACCGCACACTGCCGGGCTCGCCCAGGTTCCTGGTAGCACAAACCCACCGTTCCCAGCTCGCAGGGACCAGGGGCAGGCACAGAAGCAGGCACTAACCTGGCCGTAGCCCCTTGGAAAGGGCAACAGCTCCTGCATGGGGAAATTCTCTGCTGTGAGTGCCCGGCGCTGCTGGGTCAGGCTGGGGGCCTTCGGCCAGGATCACGGTGCCAGAGCCAGGCAATAAATCTGCTGCGTGAGCAAGGGTGAGAGAGTCCTTTTCTTCAAGGGGCTCCCCCCAGGACTCACAGGGAACTGCTGGTGGTGTCAGCCCTTTGCTGCAGCTGCTTCCCATCCCGAAGCAGGGCTGGGGGCAGCGTGATTGTAGCCCAGCAGCAGAAAGGCACCTGACTTAGGGTATGGCACCAGGGAACTTAACTCTTAGCAATGCACCCTGCTTGGAATCCTGCTCCTGGGTGCTCGTGCTGCCTTTACCACCCCCAGAGCTGGGCACCCTTTTCCAGCCTGATGTGCCAGCACCTCAGATGGCCACTGCTACAGCGAAGCCCAGGCCTGCCCCACATGCTAATCTTTAAATCCCAAAGGTGTTTCGAGCCTTCTGCCTGCCCGCGTGAGAGATCACGCAGAGCTGTCAGCCTAGAGGAACGGAGAAGCCTGCCTACAGCCCCCGTGGGGGGAGCATCCCCTTCCTGTCCCCTGCCAGAGGGGACAAAGGAACAGGAAAGCTCCTGAGAAGGATGACACAGGGTGTAAGATGATCAGGAATGATGCTCCCAGCCAGTGCAGTGGGAGAAGCATGCACCACCCTTGCATGTCCTTTCATCTGCTGCAGTGCAGGGGCAAGGTGTCAAAAAGCAAATCAAGGGCTGTGGAGTCCTGGTCCTTCCCTCTTGCACTCCAGGCTCCCTGAGGGCAGCCTTAGCCAGAGCTGCACTTGCAAGCTGCTGCAGAAGGACCTTCGTACCACAAGAACTAGGAGGAAGAGGAGCTGGAACTGATTTTTTTGGCTATTTCGATGTCTGACTTGGCAACCAGAAACCGCAGCTTCTTCCCTCCGGAGCGGATGAGGTCTACCGCACTGCAGAGAGCAGCAACAAGGAGAGAGGTGAATTCTGGTTCCCCGCAGGCTGGCAGCCCCCCAGGAGCCTGCCAGTTCATGGACATTTGCAAAACACCCACCCCATTTGCAGAACACCCCCCCACTCTCTGCTTTGTGCCTGCTCGGTGTTACAAGCAGGGTCTGTTTCTCTTCTGGCTTTACAGGGAGCCTGGCCTCCATGCGAGTGCTGCCAGGACAAGGGCAAACAAGCCCTGAGCTGCTCTGCCCTGTGGGAACCTGGGCTCTGCCTCGGACAGCCAGGCAGGGTGCAAGCCGCTCCATCCCACTTTGCAAGGAAGCCTGGGGTGGGATGGGCTGGAGCAGCTCTGCGTTGCTGAGACCCACCTCTGGGGCTCTCATTTATTTCCCAAATGTGCTCTCCAGCTTTTGCTCCCTGATCCCTCTTCCAAACCCTTCCACCCAGCTGCCTTCTCCCCTTTCCAGTGTCCTGCACAAGTTGCCTTCTCTCTGCGGCTTGCCCGTACCACAGCATCCTCTGCGTTGTTGGCCAGGACCGTAGCGCCAGGCGCTCGGAGACCCTGCGCAGCTCTTTGCTGCAAAACAGCTGAAAACCTGGACTTGAGCATTAACTCCCACGGTGCCGATACTGGACCGGACCCTCCGGCAAGGGGTGACTCACCTTTGGTAGTCTGCCCCAATGAGACTGGTGCCATTGACAGCCAGGATGCGGTCCCCGATGGAGAGCCTGCCGTCATCGGCCGCGGGGCTGTCCTCGATCAGGGTGCGGATGTAGATCCCCGGGGAGCAGAGAGGAGTGTGCTGTTGGCAGGGAAAGGCGGTGAGCAACCAGCCAGGGCAGAGGGGACACAAAAGGTTTGTGGTCCCAAAAGGCTGAGCTCCCCAGGCAGGGTGACAGCTCACAGCCAAGCAGGTGCCTGATGCCAGGCGGGACCCTGGAGGTGCTGGGGAATGTGATGGATGGGTGCTGGGGACAGTGTCGCTAACGGTAACAGGAAGGAAACATGAGCCTTCAGTTTTGTATCAGTTTATACACAGAAAGGAGAGGTAGGGGCAATCTTTTCTTGTTCAGTTTAATTAAGAGTAAAGCATCGTTAGCCTGCAGCCGTCTTGGGATGGGAGCTCTTTGCTCGCGGCTGTCCCAGGGGCTCAGTGATGCCCTGTTTCCTACTGACTAATGTACAGCTGTTAAAGGCCACTTAGTAAGATGATCCACCATACTAAGCCAGATTGCAATGCCGCCTTATGCAACGAGTGCCGTCGCTGGCGGAGCTGTTCTGACACCCCGTGAGCCTCCCTGCTCCCCTCCACTTCCCTTGCCACCCGCTGAAGTGTGGAGGAGAGACCTCGGCTGAGTCATTTTCCTTCCACAAGAGCACCGAGCCTGTTTGCTCTCTCCAGCTGCAGGACAGCTGTGATAAACTTTGCGTGCAAGGCACAGAGACCCAGGAGCAGAGATCTGCTCCTCCCGAGAGATCACTCTGCCTCATTTTCCCCAGGAGATGCAGCCTAGCTCCCGCGGGAAGCCATTAGCTTCTTTGCTGGCTTTTCTTGGGGTATAAAACATGTCCCACATGTCCCACTGCAGCTATGTGGAGGAGCATCAGCCCTGTCCTGCGATCGGTGAGAACTCACCAAGCCGTCGATCAGCCCCATCCCCAGCCCGATGGGTCCTCTCTCCAGCTCCACCACAAAGACGTAGCAGAAGTCATCGGTGGCAGAGCTGCGGCTGGAAGACTCTGGCGTGGGGTAGTCATAGGGGGTCGGCGAGCATCCTGGCAGCAGAGAGACCGGCTTACCACTCCGGCATCACCCAAACCCAGCCTCACAACCTCCCACAGAAAGCTGCCCCCCAAAACCCCATCAAAGCCGACTTCGGGTAGCCCCACAGCTGGTTTTCTGCCAGGGCAGGAGCTGGATGAGATGCTTCATTTGCTCTCACCTGCCTTGTCCAAGCACTGACAAGTGCTTGGTTCCCCGCAGGAACCGTGTGTACGGGGAGGGCTGCACAGGGGAATGGGCAGCAAACACCTTCGTGCCCCAATCCTGCACCCCCAAAGCAGGGCAGCGCCAGCTTTTGGTACCTTCAGGAGTGCTGCCTTTGGTGCCGTTCATCCCGTTCCTCCGGGGGTCCTGCAGCCCCTTGCCGGTGCCCTGCGGGGACTCCAGGCTCCCGGAGTCAAAATTCAGGGGGGTGGTGGGTGGTGTCAGCAGGCAGGAGGGGTCTGAGGGCGCCATGCCATTTTTGGGTGCTGGACCCCTGCCCAGCTGCAGCTGCTTCAGCTTCTCCTGGAGCTGGGGCCCGCTCTCCTGGAGCTGTGGCTCGCCGGTGGGGCGCGCGCAGGGGCAGCCGTTGGTGGCCAGGCAGAGCTGGGGGCTCCCCTCCGGCTCAGCGCAGCCCCCCGGGGAGCAGTAGTCCTCCTGGGTGATGGTGCCCCCCAGGGCAGCAGCTGGGCTCTCGCTCACCTCCAGGACATCTGGCGTCATGCATGCCTCTTTCTTAAGAAGGAGAAAAATGCTCTGTGGGATCCCCTGCGTGTGCTTTTCACACCCTACCTGCACCCCACCACCCTGTCTGCTTTGCAGGCAGGACAGCTGCCGGCTCCAGCCAAAGCCTTGGCAGTTCGGACACCGCCAGGGCTTGTCCTGGCTTCCCAGCACAGCTCCCACACCCCAGTTTTGTGGCCAGGGCTGTGCTGGGGATGCTCACAGCCAGCCAGGAAGGGGGACTCCTGGTCATGTCCCTGCTGGGGGATCTCATTGGAGGGGGACGCTGGGGGAGCACGACTCCTCCTGTGGTCCCAGAGCGAGGTGACGTGGCCCCAGGGTGATGGGAGGAGGTAGCGGTGCCTGTGGGTGCTGTGCTGCAGTTGATAGGGACAGGGCAGGAGAGGAGAAGGGGACCTGCTGGAGGGACGTCCTCCCCAGGGAGCTGGAGAGGAATGACAGTTGAGCTTAGCACCCACAGCACGTCTTGCCCCCCTGTGCTTTATAGGCATTAGCTAATTAGTGCTTTTGTGCAAGCCTGCCTGGCTACGTGGGGACAGGCAAGGTGCAGGGCAGGGAGGACTGGGGAACACACAGGGAGAAGGGGAGCGCTACCTGCGGATATCTCCCCTTCATCCCTCCTCCCCACTAACGAGATTGCTGGGGTGAGCCTGTCCTTCCAGCTCACCTTCCCGCACCCCCCCAGGCTGGGGGATTAGCAGCACTAATCCTTCCAGCAGCTCTACATGAGGGCATCGCCGCAGCTCCGGGCTGCAGGCGAGGGCAGCAAGCCCTCGGTACTGGGCTCAGAGGGGTCTCCAGAGGGACCCAAGACCCTCCTGCTCACCCAGGAGAAGAAAAGCCCCTCTGTGGGGTACAGGCTACCTTTGGGGGTGCTGAGCCTGGCCCCTCACTGGTGTGGGGGCTCTTGCTCTGCAGGCTCCAGAGGAAGTGGCGGATGTAAAGGAGGTGCCGGTAGATGTTGTCGTCCAATGTCTCCACCTCCAGGTCCACTTTGAAGCCCCCACTGGGCAGGATGATGGGCGGGTGGTTGTCGAAGGACTCCAGCATCTCATCTGAAAGGCGAAGGGAGGGAGGCTAGCACTGGCCCGGGCTGCATCCCTCGCCTGCCTCCCGGCTTTCGGCCACGTGCGGTCTCCCAGCCGGGACCAGGAACATGGTGAGCTGCGAGGCAACAGCATCCCTCACTTAGGAATGCAGAAAGAGCCCCAAGCCTTTCTGAGTGTGCTTTGCATCCTTTGCAATATCTGAATCGCGGGGCCATGGTTATTCCTGATCGCTGCAGTTGCTACAGGAGCCCCAGGGAGAGGAAGGGAATTGCCTGTTTGGTTTATACATAAAAACCTTGGAGGGAGCCTGCAGGTGACCAGAGCACGATGACCGGAGCAGCGTTGAGCACAAAGCCAGGGGCTCACCGGGCTGGAAGGTGGCCGGGCTCTCCTCCTCGATGGGCTGCCACGCTGCAATGCAGCCCACACCCATCACCACCTGGCACTGGCTCAGCACCCGGTGGAGCTGCACGGGGCTCAGCGCCGGGAACTCGGCTCGCAGGGACGGCCAGGTCATCTGAGTGAGGAGACAAAGCACGGGGCGAACGGCAGAGGTGAGGAGCTGCTTTCTGAGAGGAGCAGGGGCTCGCAGGGGAGATGGGAGGGAAAGGCTGGGCAAGATGGAGTGAGCCTGAGCATCCCCTCCTCAGTACTGCCCACCCACGGACCCATCACCCCCGGAAGGGGCAGCTGGTGACAGGTTGCAGAAGAAGGGACCTATCACTGCAGGGACCCCCAAACCCCAAGCAGGGTCTCTCCTGCCTGTGCCCATCCCGACGCTGCAAGCCGCCAGCTGC